ACCTACACCTACACCTACACCTACACCTACACCTACACCTACACCTACACCTATACCTATACCTACACCATTCATACCACTCCTGGGCCAAAGGAGGTAAATCCTCCCTACCATAGACTTGCATATCCATGTTCATTACTGTTCTATTCTTAGTAACAGGGAAACAGAATAAAGTTTTTGAGAGAAAGGGGTGGGAGGCAGGCAGGGGGGTGAGGGGGGAGGAAGTAGAGGATACGAACCTGAGGCTTTAAATATGACAGATAAGGAGGGCGACAGCATGAAAGTAGACAGGGGAGGAGATTAATAGATAAAATACAACATACACTCAAATATAAAAAAGTTAAATGAACATTTTTTAAATAATAAATTACTAAAACACCTAGGTTTTATAATTTTTTATTATTTTATTGCAAGGAGTACTTTTCCATTCATAATGTATTATTACTTTTCAATATTTTTTGGTTATTTTATTTATTTACATTTCTAATGTTGTCTCCCTTCCCAGTTTCCTCTCTGCAAACCCCCCATCCCATCCCTCCTCCCCATTGCCTCTATGAGGGTACTCCCCCACCTACCTACCCACTCCTGCCTCACCACTCTACCATTCCCCCTATGCTGGGACATTGAGCCTCCATAGGGCTAAGGGCCTTCCCTCTCATTGATGCCAAGTAAGGCCATCCTTTGCTACATACATAGCTGTAGCCCTGGGTCCCTCCATGTATACTCTTTGGTTGGTGGTCTAGTCCCTGGGAGCTCTGGGTGGTGCAGGTAGTTGATGTTGCTGTTCTTCCTATTGGGTTGCAGTTTCCTTCAGCTCCTTCAGTCCTTCTAGCTCTTCCACTGGGGTCCCTGGGCTTAGTCTGATGGTTAGTTGTGAGCATTTAAATCTGTATTGATCAGGTGTTGGCAGACCCTCTCAGGGGACAGCTATACCAGGCTCCTGTCAGCAAGTGCTTCTTGGCATCAGCAATAGAGTCAGGGTTTGTAATCTGCAAATGAGATGGATCCCTAGGTGGGGCAGCCTCTGGGTGGCCTTTTCTTCAGTCTCTGCTCCATTTTTTGTCCGTCTTTCCTTTAGATAGGAATGATTCTAGGTTAAAAGTTTTGAGATGGGTGGATGACCCCATCCCTCAACTGGGGTCTATGCCTATCTACTGGAGGTGGTCTCTACAGGTTCTGTCTCCCCTTTGTTGGGTATTTTGGCTAATGTCATCTCTGTTGGGTCTCTTGCTTCCCTGCTGTCTGGGACTTTCTCATGGCTACCCCCAGTTCCCCATATGCCACTGCTACATATTTCTGTTCCATTTCCTGACCCGCTGTACTTTTCTCCTTGTCTCTTCCCATACCTGATCTTGCCTCACTTTTTTCCTTCCCTCTCCTTTGTCCCTCTCAGGTTCCTCCTTCCGTCTACCTCCCGTGATTATTTTGTTCCCCCTTATAAGTAGGATTGAAGCATCCACACTTTGGTCTTCCTTCTTCTTAAGCTTCATATGGTCTGTGAGTTGTATGGGGCTATCCTGAGCTTTTGGGCTAATAGCCAGTTATCAGTGAGTAATGCCATGTGTTTCTTTTTTGTCTGGGTTACCTCACTCAGGATATCTTCTAGTTCCCGTCCTTTTGCCTGTGAATTTCATGAAGTCATTGTTTTTAATAACTGAGTAGTACTCCATTGTGTAAATGTACCACATTTTCTATATCCATTCTTCCATTAAGGGGCATCTGGGTTGTTTCCAGCTTCTGGCTATTATAAATAAGGCTGCTATAAACAGAGTGGAGCATGTGTCCTTGTTATATGTTGAAGCATCTTTTAGGTATATGCCCAGTAGTAGTATAGCTAGGTCTTCAGGTAGAACTATTTCTAATATCCTCAGTAACTGCCCAATTGATTTCCAGAGTGGTTGTATCAACATACAGTCCCACCAGCAATGGAGGAGTGTTCCTCTTCCTCCACATCCTCGCCACCATCTGCTGTCACGAGAGTTTTTGATCTTAGCCATTCTGACTGGTGTGAGGTGGAATATCAGGGTCATTTTGATTTGCATTTCTCTGATGACTAAGGATGTTGAACATTTCTTTAGATGCTTTTCAGCTATTCGAGATTCCTTAGTTGAGAATTCTTTATCTCCCTATCCCATTTTTTTTTTATTTTGGTCATGAGCTTAGCCTTTATCAGCTGTATCATCTCTCTAGCCCATACCCAATTTTTTAACAGGGTTATTTGGTTCTCCGGAGTCTAAATTATGGATATTAGCACTCTATTGGATGTATGGTTGGTATAGATCTTTTCCCAATCTTAGGTTGCCATTTTGTCCTATTGACCGTGTCCTTTGCCTTTCAGAAGCTTTTCAATTTTATGAAGTCCCATTTGTCAATTGTTGATCTTAGAGCATAAGCCATTGGTGTTCTGTTCAGGATATTTCCCCCTGTGCCACTGTGTTCGAGGCTCTTTCCCACTTTCTCTTCTATTAGATTCAGCATTTCTGGTTTTATATGGAAGTCCTTAACCCACATGGAATTGAGCTTTGTACAAGGAGATAAGAATAGATCAATTTGCATTCTTCTACATTCTGACCGCCACTTGAACCAGCACCGTTTGTTAAAAATGTTATCTTTTTTCCACTGGATGGTTTTAGCACCTTTGTCAAAGATCAGGTGACCATAGGTGTGTGGGTTTATTTCTGGGTCTTCGGTTCTATTCCATTGATCTACCTGCCTGTCTCTGAACCATGTGGTTTTGTGGTTTTTATCACTATTGCTCTGTAGTAGAGTTTGAGGTCAGGGATGGTGATTCCACCAGAAGTTCTTTTATTGTTGAGAATAGTTTCCGCTATCCTGGGTCTTCTGTTGTTCCAAATGAATTTGAGAATTGCTTTTTCTGTCTCTCTGAAGAATTAAGTTGGAATTTTGATGGGAATTGCATTGAATCTGTAGATTGCTTTCAGTAAGATGGCTTTTTTTTACTATGTTAATCCTGCCTATCCATGAGCATGGGAGATCTTTCCATCTTCTGAGATCTTTGTTAATTTCTTTCTTGAGAGACTTGAAGTTCTTGTCGTACAGATCTTTTACTTGCTTGGTTAGATTCACACCAAGATATTTTATATTATTTGTGACTATTTCGAAGGCTGTCATTTCCCTAATTTCTTTCTCAGCCCATTTATCCTTTAAGTAGGGGAAGGCTACAGATTTGTTTGAGTTGATTTTATATCCAGCCACTTTGCGGATTGTTTATCAGCTGTAAGGAGTTCTCTAGTGAAATTTTTTGGGTCGCTTAAGTATAGTATCATATCATCCGCAAATAGTGGTATCTTGACTTTTTCCTTTCCAATTTGTATCCCTTTGACCTCCTTTTGTTTTTTAATTGCTCTGACTATAACTTCCAGTACTATATTGAGTAAATAAGAAGAGAGTGCCTTGTCTTGTCCATGATTTTAGTGGATTTTCTTCAAGTTTCATTCCATTCAGTTCTATGTTGGCTGTTTTAAAATTATTAATTTTAGAAGTCTGAGTTATCTTGTTTTCACCATGGTCTTATTGTAATGCAAATAAAAGTAGCAAATGAGTCATTAAAATATACAGTTGCTTATATTCACAGAATCTACATGTTTACTGGATCCATTGATTGACAGATTATTAGTGCTGAGAAGATTAGAAGATTCAGGCACACCTTTCTTAGGGAGCTAATAATTACATGCTTCCATTTTTTTCCTTCCCTACCTAACAAGTACACACATATCATAGCACTTCAAAGAAGGCCCAAGCTTATGAAGTGTAGAACACTACTAAATGAAATACATTGGTTATAGTAGCAGAGGGATTACGTTTATCTCCAGGGCTGCTTTCTCAGAAAATCTCAGACTGAGTGTGTCCTCAGAGCTCTAGAAGCTACAAAGTTCAAGATCAACTATCATAAGTTTGACTCTTCTGAGTCCTCTCCCTGGTTATAGGGGAGCCTGACTGTGTTCTCAAGAGACTTGTTTGTTTGTTTGTTTGTTTGTTTGTTTGTAGGCATATCCCTTGTGGTGGTGGCAGGGGCCAGTCACATCATGCCACCCCAATGGCTTTGGTAACATTTAACTATTTCTTCAGATAGCTTAAATCGTAGTACCTAGTATTGTGTCGTATTGAGTGTTGGACTTTAGCATATGGATAGCAGCATATCAGGGCTAGAAGACGTTACTAGCCTCTTTTTGTCATACATGGTGCTTAAAAACTGAAATATTACAGCAGAAAATTCCTCTTTTCTTCCTCATGCCAGAAGAATACGAAGAATTTAGACAAGTTTCAGAGATTACATAGGAATAATCATAGATTTGAGTTCTGAAACGCTTACTTAATATCCTCTCTAAAATAGCTAAAGAGAAGAGGAAAAATGCATGCAGTAAAAGGATTAGGTTACCTTGTAATGCTGAAGAGCGTTCCAGTGGAGAAAACCTTTGTGGGAGTCAATTGTCCCTGTTAGGTAGGACACATCACTCTTTGCTTGATAAATGTGCTTTGTCACCATCCTGCTGCTGCGTCCTGCTGCCTCCTTTACTGCCTTCTGCCTGTCCCTAGAAGTCAGTCCTGGTCTTCTCAAAATATGATTGGTCACCTATTGACATATGACCTTTGCCTTCCCTTCAGGGAACTAACTACAGTGAGCCATTTATAATGGCATGATTTATATTTGTCCCATTCATCAGACTTTAGACTTCATAACCCAGAGTGGCAATGTCTTATGTTCACCACTGTTTGCCTTTATTTCCCTGCAGTGAGAAATCATTCAGCAAATATCTCAGCTACACAACTAAATATTTCATTTGCTTAGAACTTTATGCCTGGGATATTGCACTAACTTCTATTTGTGTTTCTGTCTAGAATGTGGCAGATCAGATTGCATTTCAAGTTGCTGGTGGATTAACAGCCCTTGAAAACATCCTTCAAGTAGTGGCTCCAGCCACAAACATGAACACGGTTTCACGAATTCCTCCTAAGTAAGTGCAGTTTCTTGATCTGTTTTTCACGTTTCATTTGTAAGTAATTTCTGCCCTGTGGTTTCCATATGGGGGAACCACTGGAAAATTATGTGTGTACTTAGGCTTGAATAGCAAGAGCTTACACCTCACGTTAAGGAGAAAAACAGGGGTACTTGACTTCATTTACAGAATTTAAATTGAGCCTAGAAAGTCTTATAAGGAAATTACTGTGTGATTAAGTCTATTCCCAAACCAAGGAGAGCTGATGAAGTCCTGGAATAGGAGTGAAAGCAAGCTAACCTTGTGTGTTGTTGTGAAAGGAGTGAGTCTGTAGTCTAGACGTAAGCCTGCAAATCTACAGAAATCCTCAAACTCAGGAAGAACATTGTATGGCCAAGACTGCAGTCTGGAGTCCCAGACAAATGCAGAGAACTGGATTGCACTTTTAGTCACTAATGGTAATAGTCTTTTGTCATAAAGATTCTGAGAATCTAGACCAGTGTCCTTAGAGTTTGGCAACAGTTGACTGCAGTGCCAGGATAAGACCTTGTTTTATTGCCAGTGGATCTGAGTTTTCAGCTTCACACTGCCAGAGATAGAAGTCAGTGTTGGGAGCTATGGACCTCTAGTAAGGACTCCAGTTTACCTGTCTGAGCACAAACTCAAGATCATAACTCTACCGTCCGAACTTCTCAAAGCTAGAGTGGTAGAGCTGAGTGTGCTATGTTGCTTATTCACAGAAGGGTAAGAGAAATCCTTAAACTACTGTAGCTTTAACTATATGGCAGGCTGCTGGAGATAGGTCACTGTGTACATTTAAGACTACTTCCTCATTTTCTTCCCAGCCTCTCCTCTGCACAAACTCCTAATGTGGCCCTGAACTGTCTTGTGCCTTGTTATCCCATTGGCTCTCAGACGGCCAGATCTCCCTTTTCATCTCTGATGAATTTTTACTACTCAGCAACATGAACCAGTTTTCATCTTAGCTTACCCTGTTTCACAGTTCCCTGCTTCGTATGATGTAGCTCTTACCTAGAGAGCTAGTCGTTTAGGCTTCCTGTATTATTTAATTTCCTCATGATAAGCAGAAAACTTAAGCCATTGTCTAGAAACAATCACTATTTTGAACTCTGAAATTCCATGACTGTCTGACTATAAGCCTGATGCATCCCTGGCCAGCAACTCTGGGCTCTGTAAACATGGATGGACCTCTCCTGCTCCTTTCTCTCACCACCTTGTTCATCTCCATTGTTTTACAGAGCGAGTCCATAGCCTTGCTTTGCCCATAGTTATTTTGCTAGGTAGCTTCCTGAAAATAGTGTTTTGTTCCATAGTACCTTTTTTTTTTT